CCTGGTTATTTTTTCCCCTGGTTCCTAGTGCTGTATGGTTATGCTACCTTTTTAAAGTTAGATTTGCTAATGATTCATCTTGTCATGGGGTTTCTTTACTTATTACTTCTACTGTTTTCTAACCTAGTAATGTTTACTATTATCTTTTCAAATTCTTACTTCTGCTTTCTTAAAGATAATTTTGCTGGTCTTTTCCCAATTTCTTAGGTTAAAATGTTATTTTGTTTGGTAATCAAGGATATGAATATTCTCCTGAGCATGGCTTTAAATACATATGTTTTTACATATAACGTTTTTATAATAGTATTCTTTTCCATATGCTCTGCAATTTCATTTTTCTTGTCTCTTCCACCTAAAAATTGCTTGAGTTATTTGTTATTTTTGTAAATTCTAGAGGGTTGAGATTTTATTTTTTATACTAAATTTTTAGTTTCAGTATGTTGCGATCTAATCCTGTATTCTTTTTAGTCTATAGAATGTATCATAGTTTTCTTTGTATGTGTATATACATCTGTGTGTGTATACATATATGTATATATATATAATATATATATATATATCCCTTAAAATTTTTCCAAATGCATTAAAAATGGGACTGTCTTCTATGACTTCAATTTGTTAAATATTTGTTAAATATTGTTTAGTTTTCATCACGGACATTTCTCAAGGAAGATGCAGAGGTATTCTATTTATTACATTCTGTAATGTGTGAGATAATCTGTCTGCGTCCTTTGTATATAAACAGCTTGACTTGTTCCAAAAAATCCTCAAATTTTCTGATAGAAGATTCCTTCTTTCACAACTTTCTGCTCTTCTGTCCATCTTTTCTTCTATGATCCCTCACTTCAAAAATATTTAAGTTGTCTTCAATATTATAATATGTTCAGGTAATATGCAGAGTTGTATGTTTATATCATTTTTCTACTTCCTGAATGACCATTAGTCTGATGTGAGTTATTCATTTATTTTATGTAGTAGCAATAATAATGAATGAATGAGCTCTGCTGTGGTTTGGGTATGGTTTAAGCATGAATCCCAAAGTTTCAAATGCTAGAAGCTTGGTCCTCTGTATGGTGATGCTGGCAGGTGGTGTGACCATTAGGAGGTGGTGCCTAGTAGGAGATACTTAGGTAACAGAGGCACCACCATGGTGTCAGGATTAATGTTTTTTCTCACAGGAGTATATTCTTGTTCCCACAGGAAGTCCTGAAAGGGTGGGGCATTAAAAACAACTGTTGTCCCAGGTGCATGGCCCCTTTTATACAGTGCCATTTCCTTTTCCTCTTCTCCACCATGCTGTGATGTAGTCAAAGCTATTCAACAAAGCCCAAACAGAGCTGCCTAATCTAGAACTTTCAGCCTCCAAAACTGTGAATTCTATAAACCTCTCTTCTTTATAAAGCATCAATCCTTGAGTATTTTGTTATAGCAACAGAAAATAAAGACAAACTTCTACTTCTCTTTCTTTCACCTTAAATACCTATGTATACTCCTCATGTTCATTCTTTCCAGATGATGACTATGTTAGTATTCTCAAGCCACCATAATAGATTACCACAGACTTTGTTACTTAAACAACTGAAATGTACATTCTCCAGTTCTGGAGGATAGAAGTCCGAGATTAGTGTACTGGCAGGACTTGTTCCTTCTGAGATCTTTTTTTCTGGTTTATAGAGGGCCACATTTTTGCTGTGTCTTTGTGCTACTTCCCTTTCTGTGCACAAGGATAAATAGGTGTCTTTCCTTTTCTTATAAGCTGACTGTCTTAGTCACTTTTCTCTTATTGCTGGGACACAATTGAAGCTATAACAGTGACATCTTTAAATGGGAGCATTTCCTTCAAGACAGGTTGAGATTGGTATCGGAGGCATCAGGGAAGTAAACTGAGATTACAAGAATTGCAGATTCAAACATACTGTCTCAGAATACTTTCTTACTAGTTTTGAGACCTAGATGTGCCTCCTGTTGCATGATCCATGCATTTAAATTGCCAACCCCTTTCTCTTTCTGACTCTTCTCTCAACATAGAGGACTTCTTCCCAGAACATTGTGAGGCATCTTTTGGGTGGTGGCTACCACTTATCTGATGCCCCTACAAATAATGTACACATTCCTATGTATGCAAAGCCAATGGTTTATTATAAATCTCCTTAATATAAGGGATATATAATACATAATTTTCTTTGTTTTTATCAGTATATGTTTGTGATACATAATAACTACATTTAGCTTGTTGATATGATATATATACATATGACATCTCGTTCATTTTTACTCTATTTCCTCCTCCCTCCACTCCCTCCTTCCCCAGGCCCCCTTCCCATCTCTACCAAGACTACTGCCCTACAAATGACTCAAACTTATTCTTCTTTAATTATTCCATGCTTTAATCCATTCATGAGGTGATGGACATATACATCATTTCCATGATCCAGCTATTCCAAGTTGTACTGCTATACACATAGTTATGTCTGTGTCACTGTAATATGATAATGTTAGCTCTTTTATAAAGATACCCGAAGAATTAGCACTAGGTCAAATGGAATTCTTGTTTTTACTTTTTGAGAAATCTCCATACCAATTTCCAAATTGGTTGCACTAGCTTACATTCCCACCAACAATGTATAAGAGCTCCTTTCTCTCCATAACCCCACCAGCACTTGCTATTGTTTGAGTCTGTGATAATGGCCATTTTTATGGCAGTAAGGTGGAACCTCAGTGTTGTTTTTATTTGCATTTCTCTAATAAGTAAAGATCCTGAATATTTTTTCATGTATTTATTGGCCATTTTTACTTTTGAGAAGTGTCTGTTCATTTCAATTGCCCTTTTTTCTTTTTAATTTTTGGCATTAATTTTCTAGTTCTTTACATATTCTAGTTATTAATCCTCTGACTAGTTCATGAAAACAATTACCCATTCTGTAGGTCATATCTTCACTCTGTGGGTTGCTTCCTTTGCTGAACAAAAGCTTTTTAATTTAATAGAATCCCATTTGTTGACTCCTGGTACCATTTTGTGTGCAAATGGAGTTCTGTTCAGGAAATCTTTTCCTGTGCCTGTGTCTTCAGAGGTATAACTGTTTTTTCTTTCAGTAGATTCAGTGTCTTTGGCACATTTTCATTTCTTTTTAGTACAGGGTAAGAGACATGGATCAAGATTTATTCTTTTGGTTTTTTGGGTTTGTTTTTTTTTTTTCCAGTACCGGGAATCGAACTCACGACCTCGCGTTTGCCAGGCAGGTGCTGTGCCACTGAGCTAAATCCCCAGCCCTAAGATTGATTCTTTTGCATGTGTATAACCAGTTTCCCAGTACCATTTATTAAAGAAGCTATCTCCTCTCCAGTATATAAAATTGACCCTTTTGTCAAAAGTCACCTAGCTGCAACTATCTGGGGTTGATTCTGCATCCTCTGTTCTATTCTGCTGGTCAGTGTGTCTATTTTTGTGTCAGTACCATGCTGTTTTTCCTACTGTAACAGTAGTTTTAGTATAACTTAAAATCTGGGCAATCTTTTGTTGCCCAGGATTGCTTTGCCAACTCTGGGCCTCTTCTGTTCCATATAAATGTTAGAATTTTGTTGTCATTGTTATTCTGGGGAGAAAAAAGCTGTGGTATTTTGACTGATATTGTGTTAAAAATCCAAATGTTATTTTTTAGTAATCTGGCCATTTTGATGATGTTAGTTCTGCCTATACAAGAACAGAGGATGTCTTTCCATTTTCTAATGTCTTCAGTTTCTTTTTTCAGAGCAATATAGTTTTTGTCATTAGCACAGTTTTCAGAATAAGAAAATAATCTCTGTAAAACTCAGATAGACGATTGATTATCACAGAATGCTTTCATTGAGTTTTGTCAAACTCAAGCCCAGCCTATGTTCGTGATTGAAACGTGTATATCTGACATGAATGTTTGATAATACAAGTTGAGCAACCTTCTCCTCAAATGCTTGAGGCCACGATGTTCTGGATTTATTTTTAAACTGTGGAAAATTTGCACAAGGATACTGAGGTACAGTGGAGATGCAGCCCAAGTTTAAACATGAAATTTGTTTATGTTTCCTATATACTTACACAGTACAAATCTGAAAGATAAAATTTTACAATCACTTTAATTATTTTGTATGTGAAACAAAGTTTGTGTACATTGACTCACTGACTCATCAGAAAGCAAAAGTGTCATAATCTCAGGCAGACATGTAATCTATAGTTATTTGGTATCTCCATCATTTATGACTCTCAATTTATATGCTGCCAATAGCAATAATTTTCTTATATATAGTTACACATGAGGACTTACCAGTTCTTTTAAATGGCCTATTGTTAGTACAGGGCAGAGGGGAATCATATATTCAGGGTAACTATGCAGCCAGCAGCATCCCCAAGATACCTGCATCAGCTGCAAAGCAACTGCAATGACAAACAGCTGAGCTGCAGCCTCCATCTCTAGGTGCAATGCTGGGCTTTGATTAAAAGATTACTGTATGCTGCATTTTTTTAAAATGAAAAGAAACATCAGGGAGCAGGAATGACATCTTCTAGGGACAAGGAAGCATTCTCCTGAGTAGCTTTCTCCAGTAACTTACTTGGTTGATAATGGCTTTTGTCTTACAAACTGTCTTACTTTCATGTTAGTAGGATACAATACCCAACACTCACAACTTAAAGGAAGGAGAGACACATTTTACCTCACAGCTGCGGAGGTTTCAGTTCATGGCTTCAGTTCATAGTCAGCTGGCTCCAAGGCAGGGGGGCATGGCAGAGGGGCGTAGTGGAGCAGTTGCTCATAGCATGGCAATAGGGAAACAGAGAGAGTATGAAGGAAGGAGCAGGGGTGAGAGAAACCCAGGTCTTCTGCCCAGATCCCACCTCCTAATAACAAGTCAACTATAAGCTCATCAGCAGACTAACACTGATGATTATCATGCCCCACGATCCATTCACTTCCCAAAACCCCACAGCTGAGCGCAGGAGCCTTTGGGAGACATCTAGATATAAACCGTTACACAAATCCCTCTTTGATCTCATGAACTGACAGGATAGCTTGTTCTATTGTGAATGCATGCCGATCTAGTCCTTCACTAAGCCCACCACACTTCTTTGTCATGTCTCTATGGTGCTTCTTTTCTGGAGTCTCAGCAATGTCATCTTCATCATCATTATTATCATGATCACTTTGAATGATTTTGAAATATCAGGGCTACTTTACCATCCATCAGTCAGTGAACAATTGGAGCATTTGGCAAAGTATAACATCAGTGTCTTCTCAAATATATATCCATAGTCTGAATTTGGTCAGAAGTGGGTAAATAAAAGATATTTTAGTGTAAAAAGAATTCAATCTCCCTTTCATCTAGCTTACTGATGATCTCAACAGGTATATCTTTTGCATATGTAAGAAGACCAGACATCATTTTTTCTCCTTTGATATACAGAATGCTTCAAAGTCAACCCTTTGCTCACCACCATCACTGAAACTCATGGAAGGCCAGATGTGCCAGGCATGCACAATCATCACTTATTCCAATAGTCACTTTATTCCAAGCACTTGCAACAGTGTATGTGGCATCTTTCACGCTAAACTTCTGAAAACCTTCCACAGCTACAGTACTCCTCTATTCACTGCTGTTAGTATGCTGTCCAAAAAGGTGTTGTCTTTACTCTTCATTGATCTAAGAATACCTATTTCACATAGCTGCATTAGTGAAGTCACAATTAGAAGAACATGGTAGGAATATTATTTTTAATAAGAGTTTCAGCTGGAGGATAAGCAGAACAGCTGTCAAGAAAAAACAAAAATCTTGCCATCAGCATCCAGTCCAACTGTCCTGTAGGGAAGCAAGTCTCAGAACAGATGTCCCTGGTGAGCCCTACCTTTTGTTAGCAATAATAATGAACTGCTAAGAAATTCACTCCTTTAAAACAATGAGGATGTGAGGTTTTGCCTATCACAACCCAGATACACTTACGTGTGCCTGGTGCACTAGGACAGCCCAGCACAGTTTTTCTGTATTTGGCATCCATTCCTACGGAGGCTGTCTCACCTGGAGTCAGTGTCTCTGGAGAAATGACACCAAAACAGTTGTGTTTCATCAACACATCAATTGTGTTTTCATCATTAGAGACTTGTTATGACATCAAATGTTCTGTAGCAATGACCCAGACAAAGTTGTTTATGAATTTCAGCACTGCTTTGTAATCAGCAGACACTGAATCAGCATAAATCTTTAAAAATATAATGCCACGTCTTTTCTTAAATTTCTGCAACCAGCTTGCTGCATATTCACACTTTCCACCCATTTTCAGTTCACCACAATCTTTGCTTGTTTGATGATCAGTGTATCATTAACTGGCTTGTGTTCACTGCAGCACTGATGGATCTAATTTTTCAAGACACTAAACATCTTCATCTTTAGCTTTGTGCAGTGTTATGGCTTCTGTCTAGATATTCACCCCACCAAATCGTCATGTGCTCATATGTGGGGCTTTTGAGATGGCAACACCTAGAATTTAGTATGAATATGGATTAAGGGGGTGTGATCACTGGATTAGTCCACTGATTGGCTCAGCATTGGTCTGGGTGTGGTTGAATTAATTAATTGAAGACAGAAGGCCCAAGCTGGGTGTGGGTGGCACCAACCAATAGGATTGCAGCCTGAATGCAATAAAAAGGGAAGGAAAGCTCACTGCAGCTTCCTGCCTCCAGCCTGCCATGCAATGGATTATATCTCCTCTGTGATGCCCCTCTGCCATGCCACGCTGCCTTGGAGTCAGCTGACTACAGACTGAAACCTCTACACACTGTGAGCTAACATAACTCCTCCTTTAACTTGTAGGTGTTGGGTATTTTGTCCCAGCAACAAAGAAGTACTAAGGCATGCAGTGTTTTTCTATTTCTTATTAATTTATGTTCACCACTCTCAACATAGATCTTCAACTGTTTATTCATCTGTTTCTTTGGGTCATGTGTGCTGGTCATTCCCATACCATGCTCTTCCGTAAGATGCTGCACTCTGGTGCTGCTGGTGAGTTTCTCCAGCAACTTGACTTCCTGTGCTAGAGATTAGGTGCTTCCTCTTTTTATTACCATTACCCCTAGGGCTGTCTCCAGGCATATTTTGAATCTCGCAGAGAAAAAACAAGTGAGTAATACACTTAGGTCTTGGCCCCATGTGGGTGAGGGCTGTGGGGAACCTGCCATTGGTGTATCTGGCCTGCACATGTGTTTGAAATGGGAATCTGGGTGTGTCTGGAAAAGATTTATCACCCACAAAGGAGCTAAAAAGGTCTTTTTTCCCTTAAGGATACTGTTGTACCCTAATTTTGACAGTGACCCACCACATGAGGTGAGGTGTAAAATTTTCTACTTGCGGTGGCATGTCAGCACTCAGTGATTCAGACTTTGGAGCATTTTGGGTTTGGACTTCAGACTAAGGATGTTCACCTTTGTCTTCACTGATGTAAATAAGATGAAAATAAAGCAACAAAAAGCACATACATGAGAATGTCATGTCTTCCTCATTGAATTGAGCAACTTCTGTGCTAAAATAGTGGTTTTGAATACTAGAATATTTCCTCAATTTTTTGTGCCACAGAAAAGACATGGTCAATTTTACCTTGCATTAACATTTTTCTACCACTTTATGTCTAAGTAAAAAGTAAGACAATAAATCATGTGCTGATTTGTAATATTTGGAGACTGTCATAGTATAAATACTCCCATTGTAGCTGATCTCAGGCCACCAACATGATGCATCACCAGCAGCAGGGTTGGAAAGAAAAGCTTTTATATAATATTTTCACAGGATAGATATAATCTCTGTGAATAACCTCAAGAGCATAGACAATAATAAAATAATTGATGAGTGATAAGTTTTGAGTATTTATTGCCTTTGCTGTTAATATAGTTTATCATTTAATTTTAATAGTGGCTGTGCTAACAATCAACTTCCAGTCTTTTCAAAATATACAGATCAGCTCAGGAGAGGAGGGATAAATCAGCTCAGCATGCCATAGAAGTCTTCAGCTGCCTGTGGTCGTCTGGCAAATCTGTTTGCCCTCTTTCTTTTTTCCTAGTGGTCACCATGCTCGTGATAAAGCATGATGTCTGAGCAACTGTGTTTATACACTAACCCTGTTTCTCCTCACAGTGTGAATCCAAATGCATCGGCCGTCCTCCCAACAATCCATATGCCCAGACCCTGGCGTGCCAGGGAGAAACCCTTGGCTGAGGCTTTCAGGTTTCAGTCTCCCACTGATAAAGCACGGTACTTACTGTCACAGATCATGGGGGGACATATGTGCCAGCACACTGGGAATTTTCCCAGTTCGGTCTTCATTTCACTGGTTTGGGTGCTACCATTTGTTGTCATAATTTGAAGATGGTCTTTCTTACTTATTTCTTGCCATTTTGGTTTTTTATTATTTCAAAAAATACACTGGGCTGCACACACATTTTCCAAGTCATCTGTAATCAAAAATCTGCATTTGGTCTTAAACATCTTTGGTTTGAGAGCCAAGTTGTTCCTTACATGCAATGCCCTAGAGATACATGTACACAATTTAAAAGAGGTTCCATAAGAAAATGCAACACGGCTGTGCCTAAATAAATGCCCTTCGCAGATGAAAGTGCTGCCAGGCTTGGTGGCGCCTGCCTGTAATCCCAGCACTCGGGAGGCTGAGGCAGGAGGATCATTGAGAGTTCGAGACCAGCCTGGGCTACAAAGTGAGCTCAAGGCCAGCCTGAACTGCATAGCGAGACCCTGCCTCAAAGAGACAAAAAAAAAAAAAAAAAAAAAAAGATGAAAGTGCTGAGTATACAGAGAATGATTGCAATGGTGAAAAAAATCTATGTGTTAGGACATTCACTGATCTTATACAATGTTTAGAGAACGAGATCTTTTTAATCCTCAGCTGAAATGTGCTACACACATTACTTAATGATAAGAAATGAGGAACTTTCCGCATGTGTTTCCCATATAATTGGAAGAAATAATTTTTGGGGAGGGAAAACAAGAACACTGACTCACAAAGAAGTCATTCCAAAGTGGCAGATTCTGTGGCATTTATTCCCCATTTGTGGAATATTTACAAGAGGAAAAATAGTCCACGTCATTCCCACAGAGTCTATTTGCTGAAAGGAAAAATATCATTGGACAGAGAGTTCCAAGGAAAAAAACAGAGGCATGAGATTATGTGCACAGGATTTTTTTCTACAGATTTGTTTCAGAACACTTGGAGATATATCCTAACATTTGGGCATGTATTTCTTCTTCAAAATTCATCTCCATAGGACAGAATAAAGACAACATGACCTAACATAAGATAACTTAAAAAAAAAAAAAAAACTTGATTCTGGGAAGACAAATAAAGGCTACGTGAGCAGTGAGCCATGAGGCACAGACTCATTCAATGTGAAACTACTTATCAGGCCAAAAGTGGGCTATCTTCCTCTAGGAAGTCTTAGGGCGGATGTGCTGGTAAATCTTATCTGCTAAGGGAGATGGATGGTCCCTAGAATAACACTGACTCCATCAAGTTTGCGCTGAAGAGTTTCCAGATAAATAATGTCTTTCCACAAATAATCTGCTCTGGATTGCAGCCCCCAGACATGAGAAGCCAGAGGAATGGCAAAGGGCTGTGGAACTTTCTGAAGAATGCAAGCCTTTGTAATTGAGAAATGAGATCACTTTGAAAAATAAATGTCTAGAAACGGAGTGATTGCACAAGTAGGCACGTTTTTGGAGTCTCAGAAAAAAGCTGCATTCTTAAAATTAATCTTTACATCTGTTTCCAGAGCCCTCATTCAGAAGTTGACACTTCTGTACAAAGAACACCCTAGTACTGCCTGTGACAAGCAAGCAGCATTGCCAGCAATTTACTAGCAACCCATAAATCTGTGGGAAACCCTCCAGATATAGTTCAGCCACCCTTCCTGGACCCTTGCAACCTGTCCTTGTCCCTGAAATCTGGAAGCTTAGACCAAAGAGAGAAAATAAAAGCAACATAAAGCATGAGAAGAAAGTAGCCGAATATATAGAGTAAAACACAAAAGCAGACTGGATTACGCCAGGGAGCCATCTGCACAGCCGAAGGCTTCTTTGGGCAAAAAGACTCCACTGTTTCTGAATCAATTGCTTCCTATTCACAGGCTCACTTATAGAGCTAAATTCAAAATGGCTCTCAGGAAATTCTTGCCAATCCTGTGGTCTGATTTTAGGCTCTATTTTTTCCTTTCTTTAGAAGACCCGAGAATGTAAGTATGTATCAGTGCTGTAAACTTGCCAGCATTCACTGGAATGAGTCAAAGGGACCTGGCATTCAATCACAGGGATGTGAGTTGCTAATAAATACAGCAGGCCCCTTCCATTGTTGATTAATTCTGACTGAAATCTAAACACCAAACAACAAACACTCTTCTGAACTGCTCTGGTACCCATTAGTTTGATGTGTTTATTAGACAGGGCTATGTTCTTTCAAGTTTATTAACAACAGATTAAAAAACTGCAAACAAATCTAGGTTTCTTTTTATGATTTAAAAGTGCAGGGCTGGGGATTTAGCTCAGCGGCACAGCGCCTGCCTGGCAAGCGCAAGGTTGTGAGTTCAATTCCCGGTACCAGAAAAAAAAAAAAAAGTGCAGGTACCACTTACAAAGTTTTTAGGGTTAACAGTGAATCCAAACAAAGCTAAAAAAAATACCATCATGTCCAATAAAAATCTTTGTATAAAATATGAATAGTTATTGTCACTGTACAACTTCTGTTACTCGAATAACCAAAACTTCTATTTAATTTTATAACTTTAAGAGCTGTCATTTTTTAATTCATCCTTAAATAGGGATCTAAACAATATTGTAGGATGAGATATAAAACCTTTATGTGTGATTTTATTGCATACACTGAAAAGTTTTAGAGGTTAATAAGACATTTCCATAGTATTTAAATGTATTTACTATATAGCAGGTTTCCTGTAGATCATTATGAATGGAACCAGCTGGTATATGTCCGTTAAGATAGAACATGCTGTATATTGTTTGTTAGTAGTGTTTGAAAGTTTAAAAATTATGAACAAATGCAAATGTGCAAAGATAATTAATAGTACACTAGTAATCAAGAATTCAAGATGTCAAATACCACATGTACAAGTTTTCAAACCTTTTGAATGTACTAACTCAAATTATTAAAGTGTGGATGAATCTTTGGAAGTTTTGAAAGAATATATACTTTTAACACCCCTGGTAGGAGCTATAAAAGTCCCAGACAATCCTACAAAGGTGCAATCATGGCTATTTCAAATTTTTCAGTACAAGCAACGATTTAACGGCACACAGCCATATTTACAATCCTAGGATAATTACCATAAAATATGTTTACCTGAATTGATTTTGCTGATTGAAAGACCACTGTTATCCTGTGAATAAGTTTTACAGCTAAGTAAACTTTAAATAATTTTAAATAATGTGTGAAGGGAAGTGATTTTCCTGTTTTGGCTAAGCAGAACACATTTCATCATATCTAGAGCCTTGGGAGATTCACAAGTTCATGTGAGGCAACATCTTGACTTGAAAAGCCTTCCATAAGTGCATCTGCTGCTGTATTCACAAAATATTCCAACCCAAATCTGTCATTTCAATATCTGGATTTTCCCCAGAGCTTCCCAGACTACCAGACTCAGCTCAGCAACTCTAAAATTAAATCATTCCCTTCTTTAATCCTAAATCATGTCCTCTTAATTTTTACATCATGTAAACTTCTAAACTTTTATTCTTTGTGGGGTTTTTTTCCAGGCAAGTATAAGAGCCATGATAGCAAAGATTAGAAGATAAAAGTAGCCCACCATGAGCTTGTTTAGTCCATTTAAACTGACAATTACTATTATTATGGTTGCATTGGTAATCATAATTATGAACATGGCAGACAAGAGCAATGTTTGAGTTTATGACATGGGTAAACAAATATTTATTTTACCAAAAGACAGCATTATAAGTATTTCAAAAAACATATAATGTGAAAAATATAATGTTGGACCTAAAATGGTAAAGACTTCAACACTTTCTTTAAAAAACTCATTGTCAATTCCAGAAGTTGCCATTTGTGGTAGCATGGTACTTGGGGTAGTCTTTGT